GGGTGGGCAGCAGAGCAGCCAGCCTGGCTTCCCGATGTGGGCTGATGAGCCTGAGAGCTCCCAAACCCCCCCTGCCATCCTGAGAGACCAGCTCATGGCAGGGATCTGCTCCTGGGGACTCATTCGCTTCCAACCCAGCCACTCCTGGTGGTCTAACAGGACCCTGAAATGAGGGCACCTCGTGACATGTGACATGTTTTCGATGGGAATGCAACTTTCCAGCCACAGGAGAAGGGCAAGTCTGGAATTCCCCCGTGAGGGGGGACTGAGCTGATGCTTCCCGGGTAAGAAACCGCAAGTTTCATCTGTATTTGGAGCGACCACAGGTTTCCTCAGTACAGCCCCTCACTGCCCACCAGGATTCACTTCTCCAAACCGTGTCCCACATTCTCCCTCCCAGCTCAGTGCTGAGCAGGTTTCATTTCTCCTCTCCCTACCTTAGCTCCAAAGCTGAACTCACCCAGACAATGATGGAGAAGAAGGAGAAGGTGATTGCTGCCCGGGCGGCATCTGCTCCTACAGAAACTGCTTTGGTCATCGTCGTCCGCTGCCACTGGTTTGTTAGGAAGCAGAAGGCTACAAACCAAAGGAAGGACAAGAAACCTAAAAAAGAAAGAGAGCTGGTCAGGGCTGTCCCTGCCCACCACTTTCTCTGCTGCAATAAGCCCAGTTGGCTGGTGCAGAAACACTCTGCCGTCAGGATTTTCAAACAGCAACAGTGACCCAGGGTGCCTTGGCCTGTGGCCCCCAAAGGGGCTATTTTAAAAGAGGCTGATTTGCAACCACTGGAAAAAACAGGGATGGAAGGAATCTTGTAGGGTCACTTGGTGTGTTGCCTGCCCAAAGTTTAGCTCACCTACATTTCAACCTGGTCTCAGAGACCTAGAGGGACAGCCCACCTTCTCACAGATCATCAGCCCATCAGGATGAGCAGCCACACTGCCAGTCCCCTGGGACACCCACTGCAAAGCACAGTCTGGCTGCAAGGAGAGGAAAGATGCTTCCTTCATTCCCTGTATCTTGCCCGTTGTCCTCAGGTGTGACACAAACTGCAGACCTGGGCCCACACCCCGTGTGAGAGCACAGGGCTCCTGGCACATGCACCTCCCATCCCCAGCTGCCTCCCAGCCACAGCTGAAGAAGACGCCTTCCTCCTTCTCTTGACACGGGGCTACCCACCCACCACCACCACCAAGCCCCAGCTGTGGCTGGTGTCATCCAAGGCTTTTCAAGAGTTAAAATGACATCATGCACATCCCCAGATGTGCAACAGCTGTGCAACAGCTGTGCTGGGTATTGTACCACTGAGATAAATGAGACACCAACCTGCCTCAGGCCTAAACCATGAGCTTCTCCAGCCAGAAACTTCTGTTGCCACCTGCGTGGACTTCCCACAGGTTTTGCTTTTCTCCTCCTGACAGAGGAGATGGGGTCAGGCATGGGTGTTCTGGAGGTGTCTGTTGCTACCCATGGATTTTAACTCCTCCCAGAGAGGGCTGAGCTGGCAGTAGGGGGAAGGCTACATGTGCTGGTCCCAGCTCCAGCTGGAAACAGGCAGGGCTGAAGCCCTGTACCTGCAGCACGCTGGGGAAAAAAAGGAACACCAGGCAGCACAGCAAGAGCCAGCAGACAATGATCATTTTAGGGCCTGCAGACAGCAGAGTGCAAACACCAGGAGAGCCGCCTTACAGCCCTAATTACAGCCCTAATTACAGCCCTGAGGCAGCCGCACATGGCTACGGGAGCAGCTGGAGGAGCAGATGGAAGAGTCACAAATGCTGCTTGCACAGCTCGGTGGCCCTGCCTGCACCCCTGCCTGCACCCCTGCCTGCACCCCAGCATTGCCCACAGCCAGTTCAGTGGCTCTGATCTGCGATGGATCCAAGGCACAAATCCCCTTCAAGTAAAAGTAACTTGTGGGTTAACATTTTCATTGTGTCCCCCCATGACCCCCAGAGACAGTGACCTGCTGGTTGACATCTGCTTTGCTGGCAGCCACCAGAAGGCTCCTGGTGACCCGGGCAGAGGGCCAGGAGTGATCTGCTTTTCTCACACCCTAGTCTGCAATGCTCCCTCATACACAAGCGTGTCCCTCACCTGGGTATTTCCCAGATGCATTTTTAGCTTTCATATCAAAAGGAGCAATGATGCAGAGATCACATATGGAGAGAAATGTTGCAATGAAATAGGAGGGAACTGAGTGTCCCATCCTTGGTGGGGAGGGAAAAAGAAGGAAGAGAGTCCCACAGGAGATGTCTTCAGGGCATAATAATGCAGTTAAACAAGGCAAATGGTGTGGGTGTAGACTGGTGCCTGAAGCTGCAGGGGGGTCCAGTGGGCTGTGATCTCTGTATCTGTGGAGGCTTCAGGTGCCAGTGAAACCAGGCACTTCATCTCTGCTGAAATCTGTGCCTGTTGAGACTTCTGGGAGCAACCAACCACCTGGCATCTCCCTGAGAGTGGGTGTACAGGCTGTGTCAGGAGAGCTGGAAGGCAGGGTTGAGGCAGCCATAATTCTAGCAAAGAGAAGCAACAGGAATGGGATAAAATACACTGGGCAGGAACCCGTTCTGACACCTCCTGGTGAGGGGAACCCATCGCTTCTCTGTGCAGCTGAAGGAGCTTTGCACACCAAGGGTCTGTGCAGCTCAGGGCTCGTGCCAGCATACACATCAATCCTGGGACAATAAGCTGCCAGGGCTGGAGGCAGAGCTGCACTGGGGGGTTCACCAGCACAGACCCCTGGGGCAAAACTGCTGCCTGTCCCCAGGGCAGAGCAGAGGCTGGGTACAGCAGAACCCCTCTCCTCCAGCTGACTGCTGGAGCCCATAGATGCACACACTGCAGGACAAGTGCAAGAGGGAAAGGAGGCAGAGATGGAGAGCAGAGCCATCCCACACCTGCCCAGCAGAGGAAAGAATGGCTGTGAGGAGATGAAGGCTGGAAGGATCACAGCCTCGCACCGCAACATGCAGCATCAGCCACAAGATGGATGTGATGTTCCCCTTCCATTTGAACTGAAGGGTTGCAGGCACCAAGCCCCATGGAAGGGGCTGTAAATATCACCTAATGAGGGGTAGATGATCCAGCACCACGGAAATAAGCTTTCCAGCAAGGAGAGAACATCCTTAACAATGAGCAAGTGCAGGGAGGCGATGACGGATGTTTTCATTTGGGACCTGAGAGCCATCAGCAACGCCTGTGCTGGATAAATCACCTTCAGACTTTGCTACCACAATAGCCTGGAGATGGAGAACACCAGCTGCAAACTCAGCCAAGCAACTCCCCCAGCAGCCGAGCAGAGGGTAGCCTCTCCTGGCTCCAGGTATCCCACCTGTCCCTGTCTGCATGGATGAGCCTCAGGGAAGGGGCTCCAGATAGTGCAGAAGCCCCTGGGAACCCCAGACCCCCACAGGCAGAGGGGCTGCAGAGATGTGCAGAAACGTGTTTCTTCATTCCAAAACACACACAGACATTAAGTGAAAACAGCCCCAGATATCACGGATGAAACAACATTTACTTGAGCCAGAAGCAGAAGATGTGGAAGGGTGAAATGTCCCGTCTGCTCTCTGAGATGTGACCACCAACCCTCACTCCCCTGGGTGGCCTCACCAAACGACCTCTGCCTCTGGTTGCAGAAGTGACACAGAGGAGCAGCACACTGCACTGTCCCCACCTCACCACACAGTGGCTTCTTTGCTGCTGCCTCCCAACTCATAGCTGGATGCGACAACCCATCTGCCACCCCTGTTCTCCTCGACTGAGGCACAGGAGTCGTGCCATGCCACGGGAGGAGAGGGGAGGATTCAGGCATGGAGGGCACAGCGATGACCCCGTGCTGCCTATGGAGCCTGGTCCTCCAGCAGCAGAGCAAAGCCAGAGACCTACCTGAAAAGCCCAGGTCCAGCAGGACGGCCCGTTTGCGGTCCTTCACGCTGCTGATCTGCTGGAAGTAGAGGTCCACCACAAAGAAGAAGATACAGCCAAAGAAGGCAATGAGACCCACGGCGATGCCGTAGCTGCAGGCACTCTCATTCTCATTGAAGATGCAGAGCAGCTCGGGGCCGTCCTTGTTCACGTAGCACTCGTTCACAATGGAGCCAAACACCACGATGGAGAAGATCTGCAGAGGGAAGGAGAAAACACAACTTGCTGCTGTTCCCATGCACCTCTGTTTTCCAACAGCAGCGTAATTGGATTCAATCCTGTCTTTGGCTCCATAGCAACATGGCATTTGTTAAGACAGACCCTGACTCTCGCCTGGTTGGTGGCCCGAAGCAAAGTGCTGGTGATGGTACCTGGGTCCTCCTTCACTGTGAGCCCACCTGCCTATCAGTGGCTTGGCTTGCAGAGTACTTTAAGAGATGTTATTATCCAGACAGGCTGGGGAAGGAAAAAATAAATAGCTGGGCCAGGTTTCTGCAAGGTCTTTCTGCTCATGCTGCTCCCTGCTGTCAGGCTGTGCTCAATAAACCCCTCGTGTCCCTGAGGAGTGGGGAGAAATGAAGTTTCAGAGGGTCACTGGCCCAGAAATGGATGGGAAGCCAGTGGAGGGGGGACAGGACACAGGGAGGTGGGGAGCAGCTCAACAGGGCAGTTTTAGGCCTGGCTATGCTGGGGCTGAAGGATGCAGCTCCCACAGCATTATCCAGTGACCTGGTTTCAGCACTGCGAGGGACAAAAGGCAGGTGGGTGGGTAGTGGCTGCCCCGGTCCCACCGCTGGGACACCAGGGTGTTCCATCTCCCTGTAGGCAGGGAAGGAGCTGGATGGCAGCACACAGCTGGCTGCCTGCAGGAACACCAGCCACACGCTCAAGTAATTCCCTGATCCCTCCAACACCAAGGCAGCCAGCAGAAGCTGTGGGACCAGCTGCGTTATAATTTGCTCTGGATCCTGTTTGGTTAGAGCCTTGGAAGTGCTGTGCTGCTGTCTGGATTCCAAGGCAGAGAGCAGGGAGGGAAGCAGGGTGTGCAGACACCCCTCCAGTAGCTGCGAGCCTCTGGTCTTGTCCCTGGCTGCCAGCACTGGCTCCCTGCATCCCTGCACACCTCCTGCACCCCTGCACACTTCCTGCATCCCTGCAAGCCTCCTGCATCCCTGCATGCTTCCTGCATCCCTGCAAGCCTCCTGCATCCGTGCACACCTCTCTGCATTCCTGAACACACCTCCCTGCATCCCTGCACACCTCCTGCCTGGTAGGATGCAGCTGGAGGCCATGTCCACAGGCAAGGATCAGAGGCTCCTCCAGCACACAGCAGGGTCTCAGGGTACGGCACAGCTCCCGCTCTGGACACCCCACGACTTCTTCTGCAGTGACAACACAATACGAAGCACATAAGACCCAGGCAGGTGACAGACAGAGGTGGCAGCCAAAGAGCCACATGCTAAACTGCAGCTGATGGCCTTGGCAAAGCCCCCTGTGTCTGCCCCACAGAGCTGACACCAGGCTGGGGGTCACCTCCCTGCACTGCCCAAGGCACAGCGTGAGGAGCCACCACCAGCAAACCCTTCCACAAGCTCTAACCCCTCTCTAACCTAACACTGTGATGTACATTTATACCCAAACACCGGCCACATTTCTCACTCTCACCTGCCCCAAAGGATTTAATCCAGATTTCTCTCCTCCAAACTCCTCCCAGTGCTGGGGTGAATCTGTGCCACAGCTGCTTCTGGCTGAAGCTACGTACAAATGCAAGTGTCTCACCAGCAAACACATCCTAGATAGTGTCCACCAACTCTTCCCCAAGTTGGAGGGGACAACAAAGAATTGGATCTCCAAGGGACTGAGTTACTAAAATGGGAATGACTGGTCAGAGGAGCTCTGTTAGTGATAGCAGACTCCAATGGCTCCTAGCACTTAAAATCCAGGCCAGCAGCAAGCTGGCCTGTGTCAGGTGGTGAGATGCTCTGAGACCTGCTTGCTAATTTAACTGGATCCCTGAGCTACCAAACAAGATCCCAGGCTCTCCCAAAATGCTCCATCACTACAAAGAAACAAAACGGGATGTGAAGGTGAGGAGAGCAGAGCTCACCCCCTCCTACACAGCTGCTGCAAAACCCCCCAGGGATTCACCTGTGGGTCCTGGCAGCGGCTCTGTGGGACTCTTTCTGTCCAAACACCTCAAGTACCTCCCAGTGCTGGCCTTGGCCCCACTGGCTGGTGCTGGCCTGTCCCCTCCATGGCCCATAGCCGAGGGGATCTGCACCTGGAGCACGTGTCCCTGTCTGTGGCACTGACAGCAGGATGTGGGTTTCTGCCCTGGGAACACTCCACAGCCCCAGGAATTCTCCCATTCAGGAACTACGCCCTCCTAGAAACACAAGTTTCCAAAGACACATTTGCAAAATTCAGGTGCAACTTTTGATTTCCCCTGGAGCACCAACAGGGGCAGAAAGTACAGAAGTCCCACGCCTGGCACAGCGAGATAACCAGAGCTTCTTCCTCTCTGAATTTAACCACTACCTGGGGTTCTGCCCCCATCCATTCCTGGCTCAGCTCAGCTCCAAACACCAGCCATGGTGGCCCCTTGAGTCACCCACTTGCATTCACACTCTATTCCTTGCTGGGCTGCACTGGGGGATCTTGGGCTGTCCCTCCACAACGGGCACATCACCATCCTTCACGGAACGGGGGGGTCATGGTGTAAGAGAGAAACAACAACAAACAGTAATAATCATTTTCCCAGTGCTTGGGCAGCAGCCGTAATATCAGCAGTTGTAAAAAAAATCTGTTCATAAATAATGCAAAATTGTTATTTACCATCAGAAATAGCAGCAGCATTTATAAAACAGGCCCTGGAAGAAATAACGTGATTCTGGAAAACATGAATAATTGAGAACCTCTGATTCCACGGGATCATTTCTCTGGCAGGCCAGTGAATTCGTACTCTGATTCTCTGATAAGTGTTTTAGTCTTCCCAGGATGAGCAATCTGGGCTCCTTCTCCATGCTTTTGGGAGAAGGTTCCAGGAGGTAAGGGATGGATCCTGTGAACATGACTCAGGATGTTATAGGACAGGGTGCTTGGTGCCTGCGGGCAGGTTTGCACACACCTGGAGCTGTCTATAGAGGATGCCCAGGCAGCACTTCTGAGATGGAAATAACAGATATTTCCAAGCTCAACTTCAAAGTCCAGAGGGTTTTCCAAAGCACAGAATCCTTTTTTGCTACCAGATGACCCAAGGAGCTCACCCTGTGAGACCCCCTGGGCCAGGTGCTGCCTGCAGCATTATGGTGCAGGGGACATGGGACAGGCAGCTTCTTCACAGGAGGCCCTAACAGTAAGGAATTTCAAGCACACACATTTGATAGATGCACTCAAAACATCAGTGCTGGCTGAAACACTCCTGTCAAAACACACTTTTCAGAGAAAATAAGGCTTTCCAGGTCTTTTCTCTCCCTCCTCCCTGTGATTGAAATGTTATTGTTTTTCTTAAAAACAACAATACAGCTGGTGCTGGTACTGTAATAAGGATAGATTTGGCCTTATCTTTCTAAGCATAGGTGAAAAAAAAAATGAGAAAATGTGGGTAGACAGGGCAAGATAAAACCCACACTTTTAAAAAAAAAGTTCATGCAAATCAGGTGCCATTTTCCTACCACCTCTACAAATGGCACATGACAAACCCACAACTGGTTCATCGCAGAACTGAAAGTGAAAATACAAGGTCAGACTTTCCACTGCAAGTGAGATTTGACTTTCCACTGCAAGTGAGGAAGGCTGCAGGAATCCTGCTCTCCAGAGGGGCTCCCCTGACTCCCACCTCCTCCTGCCTGGCAGGTCAGTCCCCGTGACCAGGCATGGCAGGAAGAGGACTCGGACCCAAGCACCAAGGTCACAGGCACACACAGAACAAGGGCATCTGCCATGCAAAATGCTTCATCCCAACCCCATCCACCTTTCTAAGGGGGCTCCTCTGTATCCCACAGGCTTGGCAAAGGAGGCTTGAGAAGTTGCAGGAAACTCCATTTTCCAGCTGAACCATCCAACTCAACCAGCACCAAATTTTGCACTCGCCAGGTGAACTGGTGCTAGACCAGTAAGAAAAATTGATTACCTCCAGCCACCCCGTTATGAAATTGCACCCCCCCACGCCAAGGCTTTCACACAAATCTGCTGGCAGAATCACGTCAATCTGCTGGGTGTCCTGGTGTCCTCATCCCAGCACACAGTGGCAGGGAATGGCTGGAAGATCCCAGCACACAGCCAGGACCACTAGTGCTCCTCTCTGCACTCAGCTGCCGGAAGGGATGGAGAGGAGGAAAGCTGTCTTCTCCCACCCTGCTCAGTAAGACTTGCACTGCAACCACACAAAGGACCTTCTGTGCCTCGGTGATGCCCTGGAAGGGAGAACAACGCCAGGCAGGGAGATGGACCAAGTGCCCAGACCCATGATGACGCAGATCAGCTGCTTGTGAAGTGCAAAGGGAGCTCATGTCACACCAACCAGGGACCACACTTATTAACGAAAGCCAGTTGCCCTGTTCCCCCAGTTGAAAGCTTGTGGAGCCACCTCACCAGGCCAGCAAGTGTTTCTGTAGCGCAGGACAAAGGGACAGGTCTTGGCAGCCACCAGGGACAGGGCCTGGGTTCACCAGCCATGACAGACTCTGGAAAATGGCTGGTGCAAAGCCAAATCCAGAGCTGGTTGAGTATCACCCTAAAAACCTGGGAGAGCACCCTGGGGACACTGCTCACCCAAGGCTGTGTCCAGCAGGAGCCTGCTGCTCCCAGGCAGCAATGGCAATGGGTGATAGGGGCATGGGATGGTGATGGAGCCCAGTGCCCTGTGCTGGTGGATGCCCCAGCACAGGCTGTGCTGGAGAGGTAGGAAGGTGATGGTGCACAGACACACAGGCAGCCCTGCAGCAGGAGACTGAGAGAAATCTCCTTTTTTCCCTCCAAATAAGCAAAGTGGGAGCCTGAGAAGGCAGGTTCCTTGCTCAGCAGCATCCAGGCACTCATGCCCAGGCTGCTGCCAGACCCTGGCAGGAACCCCAGGTGCTGGGACACCTCTGTGCCCCATGATGGAGACAGCACTTCAGGTGTGCTGAAAGCTGGGAGATCTGTGGCTGCCTTCTCTGCACCAGACTTTTAGCATATGGAAGAAGGTGGCTGGCCAGGCTGCCTGGCTCAGTTCTCTAATTATACTTTGCAGATCCATGTTCCCTCCTGAGGCTTGAGCTGGCTGGACCCCAGGACATGCACATTTTTCATCCATGTTGCTTTTAGTCTCCTGTAGCCCAGGTACCTCTAATGTGCTTCATGAGGCCTTGTGGTCCAAGCACAGCCATCACAGGAAAGCAGAAAGCAAAGAATGTAAGAGAGCACAAGCTGCAAGCTTCAGTGTGTGAACTGTCAGCCATTTTAAGGTGAGATGTTCCCACTGCTGCTGCACTGTACTTTGATTTGGGACCTATAAAAAACATTACCAGAAGGTGTGGGGTTGTAGGAGACTGCAAAACGCTGATTACACACGCAAGCAACTGTTAATGTTAACATCAAGGAAATGAAATGCATGAAGGAAAATAACCCACCACTCATCTGCTCTGCTGGAGCTCACAATCAATGCTGCTGGGCAAAAACCACATGTACAGAGAGCAGGTACCAATGTCTGGGTGATCATTCACCACTCTAATGTGAGCTTCAGTGAGACAGACACGACCCTGCTCAGCATCCTCCCCTCCTCAAGCCACCCTCCAGCACATAAAGGAAGGACATGAATATGAGAGAACAATTAAGGTCAAATCAGCACAGGCCACACCCTGTCCAGCATAGAGCCTCAGGTAAGCCCTTGTCCTGAGTCACAGCCTTATCTCCTGTAGATCCTGGCTCAGGGATGAGTTAGACCCTTGGAAAAGACCAACTGCCTCCAACACCCACCTGGCTCAAAATCTGGGGGAATCAGGTCCCAGGTCCATCTTCAGTTTATCTTCACAGCTGTCAATCACAGGGAAGTTTCCAGCACAGATCTGCATAGTTTATTGGAGGGTGTGAAGCCTACAGAAGCACTTCAAGCACTGCCAGATCTCCCACAAGGACTATGGATATGACCACAAAGGAAAGACCTGACGCAGTTTCTGGCACAGAGAGAGGTGGCATGTTGCTGGCTGTAATAGCTTTATGGACATGTCTACCAGGCTAATCAGCTTGGGAAGGATGCATTTTGATGGCCACATGACCAATTTTTACTGAGTTACTTTATCTAATGTGGCAAGAGATGCTGGCTGGAAGACAATGCCCATCCAGTGTCCCTAATCTGGTAGGGCAATCGGAGCCTGGCGAGCCAGCTGCCCTAGGAACCAGGGATGACAGGAGAAGGATCATTTAGCAGCATTTTAAGCTCAAATGCAGTGAAACTTCTGTATAATCCCATTACCAAAAATGTTAAATTTAAGTCTTGCCCACGGAAAGAGAGAATTAAGAGGGAAATCTGGTGACCCTACTGAAAAGCACCCAAGACTGGACAAAGTCCAGAGCAGCTAAAATCACGCTAATGATTCTCAGCATCGCCGTGGGCTCCTTAAGTGCCAGCCCAGCCTTGCAGGTCTTCTCTAAAAGCTCCAAGTGCTCTAGAGACAGTGAAGCCACTGTGGACCATGAGAGATACTCAGAGCTTGCAGCCTGGAATTGCTCCCACCTTGTATTTCTTGTTGGTGTCTCCTGGGTTAGCTCGACGCACCAAGCAGTCAGCTTCATCTGTGTCTGCAGGAGCAGGCAAAGTCTGCTCCAGACTTCAACCCTAACCCTTTACAAGAGCTGTATGTTGTAGTCCTGCAAACCTAAACGTATGCCCTAGAGCACCTCAAACCAGCTCTCCTGCAGCTTCACCCCAGGTGTGAAACTCCTCAGAAGTGCCCCGTCCTGAGGGCGCAGGGTAGCAGCAATCCTGGAGCCACATTCTTTCTAATTTGCTGCCTGGCTCTTCTGCTTCTGAGCTTGTTTTTTTCTAAAAAAAATAAACACATCTTCTACCACAAGCACAAATCCTGCCCTTTCCATCCCTCTGGAGAAAGAAGGCATCCCTGAACACGGGCCAGGAAGCCCATGCTCCTTCTCTCCCAGAACCGACACCTACCCCTGGTACATCAAACCACCCCCCAGCAAATCCCCTACCAACAACCAATCCCCAACTCAGCAAAGCCCATTTGCCTTGCTGAGAGACAATGATGTGCTGAATTATGGGCTGAGACCTGTGTCAGTGCAGAGCTGAGCACATAAAGACTTTGCTGGATTGGAGCCGAAATAACCTCTGGTCATAAAAGGTTCCTTCCACATATCCAAGGCCACGGGGACTGCCACTTTGCTGCCATGCCTCTGCCAAGTAACCAGATCTGGCTGCCCTCTTCCAATCCCCTAACAAAGGTTTTGGTCTTAAAAACATAAGACTATTGCAAGGAAACCCCCCCAAAAATGCTGGACCTAATGAGATAAAATCCTGCGCAGGAAAAGCTCCCGCCAGTGGGATGAACTACAAATTTGTTCAACTTTAAGAAACAAGGGAAGAAGGCAGCAGATGGGGTCAGGCAGCTGCCAAGATGCTGGTTGCATGCAGCAACTGGGGGGTCAGTGGAGCAAGAAACAAGCACTTTAGTGAAAATACTTAAGTATTTCTGTAAGATGTAGTAAAATTGGGACCTGATCTCTGCTGAGCATCACCTGACCACTCAGCCTCATTTTCCATCACATTTCCACTTATATCTGCCCCATCTCAAACCACATGTATTTTGGGCTTCCAGCTCTTGAGGCCAAAACTAAATCATGAGAGGAAAAGACTTTTACTGCTGCTCTTCTCAAAGTGCACAGGAATTACTGAAACTCTGACTCCACCATAATGTTTTCCAGACCTGCTTTTAAAAGTCAAACCTTACGTTGTTTGAAGAATGCCCCTCAAAGTGGTGTGGACACTTGAAAGTCCCGCTGGTGCTGGCAGTCCCTGAGACTGGAACTCATGATTGTGTGGGGATCCTTCCTGAATACCCAGCTTGTTTTGCTGTGCAAAAAATGTCTCAAAAGGAAACCACAAGAGAGATCACATCTTCATCTGACAAACTTCATCAGAGAGAAGGGGAAGAGATGAATGAGGAACTGCTAAATGGTTCTTTCCAGCTTTTGATTTTACAGCTCATGCCAGGAGCAGTTTTCTTCCCCTTCAGATACTCAGAATTACTCTGGCTGTCAGGGAGAGGTTGCTGTGCGAGGTACAATCAGGAATCCCCTCCTTTACCACTGATTCCTTTTGGGGATTTCTGCACTGATGTCACCATTCACCTTCCAGGCCCTCAGATGTTTGCAGCTGCTGGAGCCACAAAATGGAGCTGGATCCTCCTTTGGTGGTAGTTGGTGGTAAAGCCCCAGCAATGGCCATCAGCTGGATCAACACCAGTGGTGGTTCTCCATCTCCCAGAGCTTTCAACTGCCTAAAGTCCCTCTTCCCACTGGAGAGGAGCTGAAATGCTGCATGAGATTAAGACATCAGTAACTGGACTGTGGCAGCTGAGCAAAGGCAAGCTGAGGCCCTGAACCCTCATGCTGGAGCTGTGATGGAGAAGGGTTCCCCACAGATCTGCCAGCATGAGTATTTTCTCATCTGGGATGTTTATTTTATCTCTATATTCCATATTCTGTCCCTGTTTCCCAGCAGTGCCCCATCTCCTGTACAACAAGGCTGGTGAGCTCTCTGGGTGTGTGGTGGCAGATTTATGAGGAACCTAACTCACATTTGTGGGTCAACCAGAAATTTACCTAACCATGCCCAAAACCAACACCATGACCAAGAGACTGCCATTGCCACTTGAGGAGGATCCAGACCAAGTTCTCTGGATGGAGGCAATGCTTCTAGGAAAGGACTGCTGCCAGGTGCCAGAACCCTGCCCAAAACTGCCCAGCCAGCCCAAGCTTGATGCTCCAGGTCCATACCTGGCCTCCCTTCTTCTCCAGCCATAGAGCCAGGGGCTTTCTCGAAGCCCTGGAAAACACACCAGCTCTCACCCAGCATGTGGTTTATCTCTGAGCTCGTGATTGCAGCTGGAATTGCCCACGTGCTCAAGAGCAGCACATGCTCCCATGCACTGCATGCACTGCACTGGGCCTGGGCTGGGGGGGCAACCCCTTCTCATCACACCTGTCCCTCACACACTGCCTGCATTTGCCTCTGCTGAAGGTGACACGGAGCCAAGGGCCTCCAGGCACAGCAGAGACATGATGTGGGCCAGGACAAGCCCCCCAGGCCTGGCTCAGCTCACCAGCAGCCTCTGGCCAAGCACGGGCAGACCCTGCCCCCGGGGGGCTTTGGGAAGGGCCAGGCATTGCCGACCTCCCGGGGCCACCCGTGCTTGCTGAGCTTGGCAGGTGAAAGCCAGGCTGGGGCAGGTGACTTCCTGGCCACCGTTAGCCCTTTGGTAGCCCAGCACAGCCCCAGCGAGCCTGGGCACAGCCCCGTGCTGCTCCTGCCCCAGCCAGAGAAGCCTTTCCCGAGGGGCTGCTCAGCACATCCCAGCTCCTGCTGCGGCTGGCACAGGGATAACGGGCAAACAGCATGAATGACATCTTTTAGAAGAGCAGAGGGAGGGCTGGCTCCCGGATTTCTTGTTGCACACACACACGGATGTCTGGAGCGTGGGAGGAAAACGTCCCCTGCCTCCCGATTTACACCCCATCCCCTTGTCCTTTGCTCAAGCACCTGGGAGAAAACCACTAATGGGCAGCGGCACAGCCACCCGCGCTGCCCTCCCAGGGCATCTCCCCGCAAGCAGCCA